CAAAAATACTTTAAAAGACTTCTACGTAAGTACATAAGTAAGAAACTGCCTGTGCCTGACTTTATGCCTGTTTCTTACTTACTCCCTCCTTACACAAACTTCACACTTCAAATTGCACTTGTATCATTAATTTACTTGCCACCAGGTCTATAATGACCTCATAGACGAATGGCAGCAACGCTAGGACGAATCATCCAAGGGGCGCCATCTTTACCAATTTTTTCCATCTGTTCGCGAACGGTTGTCGAGGACATGGCTTGAGGTGGATCACTGTGTTGCTCAATTTCTTACGGGTCATGGTAACTTTAAGAGCAAGTTGTATTCATTTAAATTAGTCGAATCACCATTGTGTCAATGCTCAACACCTAACTCTCATTGTGAACAGTCTGCTCATCATATCCTCTGGGAATGTAGTCTTTGGTATAATGAACGTAATATAATGCTGAATAGCTTGCAGGTGACATCTGGGGCGGTACACTATGGGGATCTTGTGTCAACTAGGGTGAATTTCCGTGCGTTTAGGCGATTCTGCCATACATATTATAGAAATCAAATATAGCTCATGTAGGACCCGTAATATTTTGTGGCCGTGGTGCTTCCCTGTTTAAAAGGGTGTATGCCTATTTTACTTCATTTTGTCTCCCGCTTTGCTAAGGAGGGAAGTGGATTTACTGTATTTCCAACTCCTCCAATTTTCTTCTGATTAATTTCGTTGCGGGTTCCAAGACAGTTTAATTTCTTGCTGGGACTTCCCGAGTGTCATAACTCGGTGTGTTCGTGGGTCACTGCTGTGGATCCTGGTGTACAGGAGTTACAGTGGTGGGCGTGTGGGTGGGATTAGTCCCATTACCACCAGGTGACCTGACTGATCGTGTGCTTTCCTGTGATGTTTTGTTTCTGTGTTTTTTTGTTACTAGGAAGGACTCTGTTACAAAAAAAATAGTGGCACTCCAGGAATGCCGACAGAAGTAAAAACTTGAAACTTTTAAATGTTTGAATAAAACAGTCATTTTTTTGTTTTTTCGATTCGAAAAGCTTTGAATATATGTTGTACATAATATATATGTTTATATTGTATATAGTTATATAATTTAATATGGTAAATTATTATCAATTCAATTATCAATTCAATTTCAACCCAAACTCAACTCTCGTGTAAACGAGACCAATATTAGATACTTATATACAGAGGTGTCGGTAACGGCAACAGTGTACCGAGTTTAATGGTTTTTTTCACATTTCAAAAAATACATTCTTCTGTTTGTTGTTCAAAAATGCCCAACGCGCCTATAGAGTTACCAATATAACCACACCAACGTAACTTAACCTCACAAATTAACCCGTACAGAATAGTTGAAGTTTGTACAATAAATCATCACCAAAAAAACGGTCAATCAAATCAACGAGTACCACACATTACGTTCTAGTGCGTGATTCTAATAAATAACTAAATTTATTTTATAGTGCCAAGGCTTTTTTGTATCGTAATACTGTGATATATTGTAATTACTAGGGTCATGTGTTTACTTATATGAAACGTATTCAATTTGCATGCTGATTTCACATAAGATATATTTTATCGGTCCAATTTGGAATGAAAACAATTTGGCTTCATATAATTATGTTCATCATTAATTATCTACATTTAAATGATAAGTGATTTATTATCGTTTTCGCGGTTTTGATGTTTATTGCAATATTTTTTTCGTTATTATGTATAAATTATGCTAAATTGAAAACGATAGTTATCATTGCAATTCTTAAAAAGTTAATTGCATTGTCAGACGACCCCCTAATCTAATTTGGAATGAAAACAACACTATTATACTTACAAAGAACCCGTAACATGTCACCGGTGTCACACAACAGTATGTGTGCTCAATTTCATTAATTCTTTTTTATTCACAACTAGCTTTACCTTTTAGCTTTTTTTTGCTTTTTTTTTATTTATACACGTGTCCCATTGTGTATAAATTGATGAAAAATGAGGAACAACACTGATGCGAAAAATAGATAAAATCAATTTTTGAAACGGGTTGTATATCGTGTCTATCCGTGTGGTGACGGATAAGAATACGGAGTGTCACCATCCCTATTCATCCCGCGAGTGTCGTTAGAGCCGACTAAAAGAGCATACTACGCAAGACAATACAAGAGAGACTCCAAAGAGAAGGAAAACTAGTTGAATCAGTGAAGAACTATTTGAGTTTTAGAAGCGTACACAAACCAACTTGACATTTCTATATATAGATAAATAACTACGATAGCTTTAAAAAGTTTAAATAAAATTCATTGTTCATGTTCACTTCTATCATTTAAGGTAAGCAACAGCTCAAATGAAAAAGCTCATCCTTAGTTTGAATGTTCATAAAATGTAATTAGATTGTAATAAGAAAGTCGATGAAATAGAATCATTGTAAAAACCTCATAAGTTCCGGAGAAAGACCCATGCTTCGGTTCCTACGGTTCACTCCTTCCTTCGGTTTACTCAAAAAAATAAAATATTACTGATCATTTTATATAAAATTCAATTTAAAATACAGTCAACCCCAATGTTGTCAGAAGACGCAAGAGATGCGCGATTGAAAACGGGGAATTACTATGTGAATATGAATGTATGTAGGTGAATAGCAGGCTGAATTGCACTTTATTGTGACAGAGCAAGAGTCGTTGATAATTCTATGATTTTGCGGAATAAGTTGTGAAACTAAATAGGTACTCTATTTGTGATAAATAAAAATACTCTTGGCCCCCTACATCGAAATTTTAGTTGGCAGTGATTGACGTTAGGATTACAAATAATACCCAAATATCATAATTACAAGGCTGTTTATTTTCACCTCTCACTTAAGTTAACTATAATTACTAAACGAACATAATCATAGTGCTGTCAGTTCAATACAAAGTTTGCACTACCTAAACCATCTTCTTCAGAAGTAACTGTCACTTACTGTTAGGATATCACTGGTTATTTAGCTAGGAAGATTACGATAATATTTTGTAATATTACTCAAGTAAGGTTTTATAATTTGGAAATAAATAGTTACACTTCGAATATAAATAGTTTGTGATACTTTCAGGCCCCGGCATCGACTCAGAAATCTTAGTTTACTTAATATGCTAGGTCATAGCTTTTTAATTCAAATATAGGAACATTATATATGTGTGTCAATTTTTTTTATGGAAAAGGGGCGAGCAAACAGGTCTCCAGTTGACTAGTGTCCATGGACCTGCACTGCTGCTGCCACTTGCCACACTTTAAGTGCTCCTAACCCCCCCTCCCCCCTCTAAAATACCTAGGTATGTATATAAACAATATGAATAATGTATATAAATAAATACCATTAAACTTTGATGTATCATGTATCTTTACATAAATTAAAAATGAAATCCTATACTGAGATAATAATATATCTTATATTTTACATAATGCTTACTCAAATCAAAATTTTAACATAAATTACGTCAAGGTTTATATAAATTCATTTGTGACACGAAAAACTCAAAAGTAACAATAATAATTGTAAAATATCTAGAATCGATAAGTACTTAATTTTCGAACGAATCCTTGGTAACTGACATATTGGCATTTTACCACATTCTTCACTTTGCCGCTTTTTATTACAAATCTTCACATAGTGGTCAAGGTGACTCGACTTTTCGGAACTTCCATAAGCATTCCTCAATTTTTACCCCTTTGACTGTCTGTGTAATGAATTATTTAGTTAACGTAAATTTTTGACATTCAACAAAGTACCATTACTACTTTCTCTTAATTTAGTGTTTTGGTTTATAGTTCGGTCAATTTAGAAATAAAAATAGTGGTCAAATTACAAAAATTCCCGGAAGACCAAATATTGGTGGAGAGCTGGGGTTTACCATTTACAAATAAAGTTTTAAAAATCCCCATCGATCCTATGTGTGCTACAAAACTACTTTGGTTTGAGGTTTTTTTGAAAAAACTTACCGTTTTGGAAAAATATTAAAAAAACCTCAAATTTTTACCTTTGACCCCGAATAACTTTGTAGCACACATATGATCGATGGGGATTTTTTAAACTTTATTTGTAACGGTAAACCCCAGCTCTCCACCAATATTTGGCTTTCCGGGAATTTTTGTTATTTTAAAATGTCTATATTGACCGACTATTAATAAAGTTTTCGCAAGATGCTTAACGCATAAGCTTTATAGATGTAATATCTTTAGAAACATTTGGTGTATTCAATGCACTGCATTTCAAATTTTTTATTATCACAATGCTCACCCTTCAATTGATTTTTGTCTCTCTAGCCTTATAAATACATATACCATTCTAGTTACTTAATATATTTTTAATATTTAGGATATTTAGCAATATTCTACAATATTTTAAATGAGAAAAAGTTATAGGTATGTACTACATATATTTTCTGAGTGGTTACTGAAGACAATTGATACGATGAAATCAAACGTTTACTATAGTCCATCAACGTCGTGCGCGACCGTCCTGCGGGGTGACAGACGGTGGCGGGGACGAGGTACTCAAGATGTCAGCGGGTAGCGGGTGGTGTAGCGGGGAAGGGAAATGCTTCTTTTCGTGTGTAGCCGTGTGCTAGAATGACGCGCTACCTCGCCCCCGCCACTGTCTGTCACCCCGCGGGACGGTCGCGCACGAGATTGCCGGGTTATAATCCAAATCTGTCCAAGTGTTACCATAACGATGATGGTGTAAAAATGTTCAATATTATATTTTTCACTTGTTACAAAATATATAAATGAGGTATTGAAAATTAGAAAATTTTAACCAGAAAAGGTCAGTTCTTTTGAAGTACTAAATAACCTACCAATTTTTAATTATCACAACACTGTCCGCGTTTCTTTAGAAAAAACTAAATTGCCATGACAATCATATTTGTTTGACAATTTTCAAGTTTACCTTAAATAGCAACCAAAAATACTCGTATTGATCAAACAGGTAACGATTCTAATGTGTAATCTGATTTTAAGAGCTTACTGAATTATGGAAAAAGCTATAGAAATACAGAAACAAGCGCGGGAGAACGTTAAATCGATTCAAACTTACATGACAGATTTGCAGAATTGGGAAGCTGAAATGAAAAGAAAAGAGGCAGCTTTGAACGGTGTTTGCGAACAGGTTTAGACCTATTTCCCGTATTTATGTACTCCCTGTTTTTTTTTGATATATATAGTATGTGTGTCGTTGTATAAACTAAGAAATTTAATCAAAACTTATCATGTAGCGGTAATAGTTAGGTTATACTAGATTATTGTTTATATTCTGCTTTTAATATTAGCAATTCCGTGTAGAAGTCTTTGTGTTCAATAGTTTTCTTCTAGAATGTTAATACGTGTACTTTTTTTGAGGTTAGGACCTGCCACCAATTCGTAGTAAAGCGAAGAAAGATCGTCCTGTTCGGGAGATAAAGAAGGCTCCAGAAAAACGGATTAAAAGTTATGATTATACAGCATGGGAGAAATTTGATGTTGTAAGTACTCTTCTAGTCCATATTAGTGAACCCTGTTCAGCAGAAAAGATCTTAAATAACTCTCTCTTTATAAAAACACTTGACAAGATTCTTGTACTTTAACTCCTCATGTGCTGCTACACTGTACAGTGCTTTCACCGGTAAGCACTACAGTATAGTGGCACATGAGAAGTTAAGCATACATTTGATGATATACATTATCTCAACTATAAAATAGTTCTATGAATTTAATAAAATGTGTTAGTAAAATTTAAATTTAGAAAGTAAGATTTGCTCTTAAGTTTTTCATTTGGAACTTATATATCTCACACATCTTACACAGCCGTCTGATCCCAAACTTGGTAGAGCCTGTGCTATGGCAATCAGACTTAAGTTGTTGTTGTTAAGTTAGTAATAATGTAATATTAATAATAATGTTAAGTTTCAAACTAAGCAGAGTTTGTACTATATTAGATTGACTGATAGAATACTTATATACTTTTTTCATAATTACATACATATTATACATAGAAAACACTCAAACTCTGAAACAAATATTTCCAGATCAAATAAATCAAGTTTAATCGAATATAATTGAGCAGTAAGTTTTTTAGTTTTAAAATTTTGCAGGATAAAGCTTGTGAGGACGTAGACATGGCAGACATAGGTCCAATGTCTTTAGACAGCAAGAAAAGTCAGCAGGCGAAGGAGGAGAAACTCAGAGAGGAGGCACAATATGAAAAAGAAAGGGTGATCAATTTTTATTAATGATTGATTGTAAATCTTGGCAATAGTACCATGCTTTATATTAATAATGCTTGTAGGTAGTCTAACTCTATTTATTAAAGATATACATTAATCTGCCGTATAACATGGTACTCTTATAATGCACTTTCATATCACGCGATTTCAATCCCTTGTATAGCACGGGTATTGCCTCATATAACGAGAGGATTACCCACGTCATATTTCTGTACTGTGAAATTTATAATGATTTGTAGAGTTCATAATTCGATTTAAACCCCTTTTAAGGAGAAGAGTAAAACGTGAATCATTTGTACAAGCTTGTTATACAAGAATACTCCTACAACGCGTTTTCCTGGACTATTACTGTATTACAGTTGTATTTTGGAGATGGTATTAGGTGATTGCTGTGGCTCATTTTGTTTGCATTGATGAGAAATGAGGAACGAAACTGCCACGAAATATAGATAAAAACAATCTTTGAAACTGGTTCTATATCAAAATTAGAGCTCAATCAAACAAAATTTAAAGTTTAGTTTAGTTTGTGTCTAAAATTCAAAAAGTTCTGCATGGATTACATTACTAGTACCAATATATTTTTTTTATTAATAAATAGATGTATTGTGGAGGTGCATGACTATTCAGATCTGACATCCCACAATACACCGGTGATATCAAATTAATACAATAACAAAATAAATAGAAATTTAGTTACTCTAAAAAAAAAACACAAACTAAACTTATTTCACTAGATGAACATGCTCAGTAATTTGTATTGTTTTACAATGTTTTGTTTAATCAAAAATTGAACTAACTATGTAGTGTTGCTATGTCCGTGTTAATGTTGTTTGACTTGTGTTCTCTTTTGTTTTCCAGGGCAACACATTTGTTAAAAGTGGTAAATGGGACGAGGCAATATCATGCTACAATAGAGCCATTGAACTGGTCAAAGATGATGCTATTTATTATGCTAATAGAGGACTATGTTACTTGAAGAAAAACAGGTATAGAAATATCCTTGTATTAATTAATAACTGCATACTTTAATTTTGGTTTTAATTGTAAAAGTATGCAGTAATGTTTGGAATTAGATGGCCACTGGACTCACACTTCTGTCAGAAGATAAACGGCTAATGTAACTGTTTTAAGTTTTATCACTTTTTTCTATAACACGGCAGGTTATTTGTTAATATATCAGACTATGTTGTACAATTCATTTTAAAAAGTTCTTGTTAGTATAGAATCTTTAGTAAAATTATTGACTTACTGCTGTACTGTGCTGTGAACTCAGTGAAGTGGTTTGTATGTTTGTAGTGATGACCCTAAATCTATTGAATATAACGTCAATTTTTAAAAATATTAAGCTTAGTCCAGTTAAGTTTTAAGTATTATACGATATACTTTAGTAGTCATAGGTTAGGAAATATATAATGACAATTTAGTTTCATTTGTTTGTTTTTACCTTGAAATAACATTTAAAGTATTTTAAAGTAATGTAGCATTTAACAGGTTTTATTAGTATGTAGCTCTACATACAGATAATTTCTATGTATTTAACTTATGATAAAAATATGGTTAGTCATCATCATCAACAGCCTTTAGTAGTCCACTGCTGGACAAAGGCCTCTCCTTAGAAAGGAGGTTTTGAAAATATGGTAAACTATATGTCATAGTAAACCTGAGATAAATAGTTTCCGTAACTTATTTAAAGTACTCTCGTTCCACCACACTACATGATAATATGCCAGTACAAAACATGTTAGATATATGACCTTTTACAAAGTTTTTTTTTAAATTTACAGTCTACACCAGGCAGAGTCGGATTGTACAGAGGCCTTACGTCTGGACCCTACATATGTTAAAGCATTGCATCGCAGAGCTATGGCTAGAGAACGTCTTGGCTCACTTCGGTCAGCGTCTCAAGATCTCGGTGAATTGTTAAAGTTTGAACCAAACAATAATGCAGCTAAGAAACAGCTGGATGCACTTAAAGCGAGGATGGGAACTAAAGGAGTAAGTTACCAGATTAGATAGAATTGAAGTGTCTGTTTATAATGTCAAAATGGGTTTTCATGCTCACATGGTTATTTGCACTATATCTATACCTATGCCTAAAAACCAGCTTAATTTTTTTTTGTCTTTCTGTCTGTCTGCCTGTTTGTTCCGGGTAATCTTCAAAACTACTGGACCGATTTTGACAATATTTTAATACCAGCTGTACATATAATCAGTAACTTAGGCTATTTTCCCTCTCAGAAAAACCCTTTAAAATTTTGACCGGTCCAGGAATCGAACCCACTAAGGCAGAGCTTTCAAATTCCACACGAAGGAAGTCCAGTTAACGAACGTAGTCGCGGGTACTAGCTAGTCTATTATATAAACGAACACAAGTGCATTGATGTGCACGCATCAGATCTATGATCTATACAAATAAATAAAATTGGAGTGTCTGTTCGTAATATTAAAATAACCGCTTTTTACTAAATGCATATGTATGTTTACACGGTACATATGCCAAAATATCATTTTTTACAATTTTTGTCTGTCCGTCTATTTGTTCCGGGTAATCTCTGGAACGGCTTAGCCGATTTCGACGGGACTTTCACTGGCAGATAGCTGATGACATAAGGAGTAACTTAGGCTACTTTTTTTAGACTAGCTTTGCCCCGCGGCGTTGCCTGCGGTTATAACAACAAACGCGGGTAACACCGCGGGTCTCAGCTAGTAAATTAATAATAATTATTAATTTTAGGCAAAGTCAAAATCTTCACCATTATCGACGCCTACAGTAGAAAGCAAACCACTGTTCAAACCAAAAACAGAGCCCAAAATCACGGAGCTGCCCGCAGAGCCAGTACCAGTACTAACAGCTGAAGAGAAATGGAGAACTGGTGTTGGAGAGAATATTACAGTTATTATACCAGTGAAAAAACCACCGCATTTAAGATCTAAGGTGAGTTGATGAGGGGTTAATAGTTGACATCTTAAGACATCTTAAGAATACGGAGTGTCACTACCCCTATTCATCCCGTGGGTGTCGTAAGAGCCGATTAAGGGAGTAAACTAGACAGGACAACAGCACTGCAAATAGAATGAAAACTTGAAACAAACCCTATACAAACCCGTCTAGCCAGTGTGGTATAGTACCCAAAACCTCCTTTCTAGGGAGAGGCCTATGTCCAGCAGTGGACTAGTAAAGGCTGTTGATGATGAGCACATTTGCAAGTCCAAAAGTGCTGTGTTTTTTTAACTGTCTGTATAGGTAATCAGTTATATAATACCAGAAATTACACTAGTAGAGAACACTGATATTATTTTTATATCCGACCCTAATTATTAACCACCTTATTCACCATTTTTTGTTTCCAGAGACCACTAAAACCAATACCAATTCAAGAAATAGAACTAGGCAAAATCTCGCCAGAAAAACCATCAACTCGACTCAAAATCATTGAAATCGAGGACAGCTTGGCTCATGGAGATACTAACAATAATGACTCTAACAAAATTGAAGAAACTCCAGCCAAAGCTATAGATAATATTGAAGAGAAAGGTGAAGGTGATAAACTTGCTAGTCCAGAATCTGTGAAACTCATCTCAGAGTCTATAGTGTCAGAGAAGGAGATTCAGAATTTAGTTCCACCGGTCAATAGTGTTCAGTTTATGGCGGAGTGGAAATATTTGAAAGGGAAAGATGTGGCCAGATGTCATTATTTGAGTGTAAGTATTTTAGAATAAAAACTGACTGAAACTAGAATAATATTTATTAATATATATACTATATATGTACTATACAAAGTTTGCCGGAATTCTTGTATGCTTGCAAACCTTGGCAATGTAATCATTGATAGATGGGAAAGAATGAAAATTTGGGTAAAGAAAACGGAAAATATGGAGCTAGGGTAACGGGACCTGGGCCTCAATTCTGCTATTTTATGTTCACGCCAAGGCACTGTCATACCACTATCACGCTATTGAGATGCCATCGAGTGGCCATTGGCATCGGTATAAATATCGGTAGTCTACACTAACTCAGTGTCTTTACAGTGGCGATGACTTATCAGTGGTGATATCAAATAAATAAATCATTTTCTTATAATAAAAAAATATATTCCGTTTTTTTGAGGAAATTATTTATATATTTTTCCAAATATGGCAATCTTTTTGTTATCACCACTGGTGAGCTACTGCCATTCCATCGCCACTGTAAAGACACTGAGTTAGTGTAGACTACCGATATTTATACCGATGCCAATGGCCACTCGATGGCATCTCAATAGCGTGTCAGTGGTATGACAGTGGCTTGGCGTGAACATAAAATAGCAGAATTAAGGCCCTGGACTTGAACAACTCGTAGAAGCGGGTCTTGTTTATTCATAACTTTGGGGACCGACAGCTTTGACAAATTTGCTTATTATAGTAGAGGATTGTATCAGTAAGCCAGTTATAGATCCCCATGTTTACTTCAGTACATTGTAATTAACATAAATTTTGAACAACTTAAAAGAACACTGTAAAATATAATCAACGTAAATGTATATACGTAATTCTAATACTTTTCTATTTTTAACACTGTTAAGAAACTGTTATGAACATTTAAAACACATTGACTAGTAAAATATGAAATAAAAAATACTGTTTTCCATTTTCCAATTAAAATTTAATTTATGAATTTTACAGATAATAGATCCTTTAAAAATTCCGTCCATTTTCGACAACGCACTCGAAAGCGACGTTCTGTCTGACGTGCTCCGTATCCTCCACGACAACACCAAGGTGTTTAGCAACAAGACGATCACTGCGTACCTGGTGGGGCTGAGCAGAGTGAAGCGGTTCTCTGCACTAGCCATGTTCCTCTCCACTGCTGACAAGACAAGTAAGTCAATATTTTTAAATCAATAACACAGAAATTTTAACATGAATATCCCTAACTCCTGTAAGAACTTGTTTGTTGGGGTTCTTCAGAAGATGTTCTTATTTTAAAAGAGGTTTTTAATGTGCAAGTAATCTAAGCAATCCGATTTTTGGGCATAGATATTCCATTCTATGTACTTTCATTACTTACTTACAGGTACTTATTACTTATGTGTGGAACATTTAACAAATAACTTTATTAAATTCACTTTAGAATACTTATTAATAAATATATCTTAAATATGTATAAATATAAATGGGTATGCCTCAAAAAGTTAAAATGGATCTCAAATTTTGATACGATATACAACACGCTTCAAAGATGGTTATTATCTATTTTTCGCTCCACTTTTGAGTCTCATTTCTCATCAATGCAGCCACCGTGTGCCATAGCGAAGCGTGGTAAGTGTGTGCAGCTAATTAATTACAATATCTTGGTCTAAGGATGAAAAATAGCTAATAGAACTTATAAAAAAGGCACACCCGCATTAGGAATATTACCTGTGTCGGGGAGAAGAGGGGGGGGTGGGGGGTGCTGCGATCTAACGGACGGACACACACGGGGGATCGGACCCACAACATTCAGCGTAGTAGTAAGCGGCGTGGCGACCACTTAAACCACTACGCTATCCGTGCAGTCAAATGTGTAGATATTCTGTATAGTCTATTTTCTTGAATAAAAATATATATCATATTTTATCTTCTTTTTTGTTCTAGTGTTAACGACATTGCTAAACTACTGCAAGACGTCCGAGAACTGCAGTGAAAACGTCATAGCTGATCTGAAGAACAAATATGAACTTTAAAAGCGTCACGTTAGGTTTTATTTTAGTTCGTCATTATAGGCTTAGCAAATAACAAGTTGAGCTTACGAAATTCTAAGGTTTTTAAATGCTCTACACACACTGTACTAGTCCATAGGAATTGCTGCATAAGGTACATTATTTGCACTTTATGCACCCCTGCCTTTACTGATCTTTCAGACACGAACTGACGGTCCTTTATTGTCCAATAGTGAATTATTAATAGTAACCTACTTAATATTATATACCAAACTAAATTGATTAAGAATTTCGTAAGTTCAACTATCTCTGTATATGGCCACATCATAATAAATTAATAATAATAATAATAATATAACCCTTTATTCCGAATTGTCAATCTGTTTCAACTATGCGGTTACAAAATGTCCCTTAGTTTGGTGTGTCTTTTGACATAGGCCTCCTCCAACTTCCATTGCGCTCTGTCAGTTGCAACTTTGGTCCTGTACGACCTCAAAAATAGGCGGAAATCATTTTCCCATCTTCTAGTAGGACGTCTCCGTTGTCTGCTTCCATCTCTTGGGTACCAGTGTTACCTCCCGACTCCATTTGTCCGTCTTGTAACGTAACATGAGTCCTGTCCAACGCCATTTTAAGGGGTCAATTCAAGTATGGCGGTGACTTTGGTTTTGTTCCTTATTTAGTAGGCTTGTCTCCACTAATAACAAATTGCTTGGTTTAGAGTTTGAAATTACTAATGAAGAGACATAGATAAGAAAAAACCAGTCTATTTCTCTTAAAAGTTAAAGATAATTAATATTTAAAAAAAAAAATTCGAACAAAATAGGCATTAAGTCACGTGACACGCACCAATCAGAAAGTGTTACGTCACGCCACGCAAAACATCATTGTTGTTGTTGACGTTTTCATACAACAGAGCAGGTTACTTATTATTGTTTTTCGTTTTTAGCATATTGGACACAGATGTAAACAGTTTTGTTTCGCAGACTGTGACGTCATTCAAGACGCCATGACACTATTCAGCATTTTCAAGGAAAATTTAAATTGTTTTTTAAATACAAAATACGTAATGTAAATATTGCTTTCTGTTTAAAATATTGGTTTTTTGAGATAAAATAGATATTAAAGTATATAATTAAACAAGTTTTCAAATTGAGTCAGCTAGCCTATTCTATCATTGAGTTTTATTGCCAATATACTTCTCTCCATTGCCCGCACTTGGCTAGTTTTTCTCTGACAGGTGGTTGAGATAATAAATATTAGGAATGTACTAAAATCACAATCACCTGTGATCACGCATCACACCTATGACTAATCTACAAAACTACTGTGATTGTGAGTGATGATTATGATTATAACAGAAGGCAGTATTTGATAAAAAGAAAATTCAATATGTTTGTTTTTTTCTTTGCTTAAGTTTTGATGGCATTAATCTGCAGCTGTTAAAATCACTGTGTTCATTGGTATGTTTATCTATGACACAATATACAGTAGTGATTTCTCACAGGTGTAATCGCAGTGACTTCTGCTAATAATATAATCATATGATTATTATTTGAAAGCAGCAATAATTTCCATCATTAATAAATATAAAATAATAATAACTTGAGGCATTTCACACAAAGCCAATTATCGTCAACTAGATAGATACTTTGTTCAGAACAAACGCTTATACATTTTATAATTCAGAACAAACGCTTATATATAGTAGGCCAAAAACCTCTTTTCTAAGGAGAAGCATATCTCCAGCAGTGGACTATTAACGGGCTGTTGATGTGATTATATTCATCAATAATTACGAATCACCACGATTACTGACACCGCATTTTGAATCACTGCCTACTAAACTAACCCGGGATTATTAAGTTTCCATAAGAAAGTCTAAAAGTTCTTGACCAATTGGCATTTGTATTTTTAGTTATATTTTTAGAATTGTCGTAAATAAATAGTAAATATATGAAAAAACAAAGAAAAAAAATCAGCCGTCGCGGCTGGACGTCTGCAGTTCTGTAACACCGAAATATTTTTGTAGAAATAAACGCATAGAAACAAAGCATTACAATTCACATATACTATCACATCGTGGCGACCAATGCCGTGGCGACGCTTGGCACACCATCAGTCGGTCTGACCGCTCTATTAGATGTTTCACACCAAAAGCAAATTTAAAAAAATCACAAATCTTTATGCACTTTAGATGACATTACAAAATTAGTAGATGTGGCCATATACTAGACTGGTGCAAGAAATATGTCGATTATATGGATACAATATTAATAATTTTAGTCTGATAGTTTTATTCCCTTCCTTTTTTATTTTTTTATGTATCTGACATTCCGTATTCAAGATGCAAGGAGGTTCATGGTGATCACTTCCGCAATTAAGGAATGAAAACGTACAAACAGACAATCTTCAATTGATGTTTATAATAATAGTTGATCCCTTCCGGGACTGAAACCAGAATGAGCCATCGTCTAGAAAACTCTTTTCATGCCATGCACTCTAATTTTCGAGTCGGAATATAATATATATATAAAATATATATATATATCTATTTATATATATAATTATTTGAAACCTGTCATATTCAAGGAAATGATTTAATTTCTAGATCGTTGTAGTACTTTTTCACAATAAGTCACCACTGTGATTGTTAGACATATCAGTTTAGTATATTTGCATCGAAATATAAAACAGTTCTACAGAGGCCTACTAAAAGTTGTTTGAACCTATTTTGAGCCCATAACAGTGATCTTTTTATTGTCATTTGAGCGAATTTGAATTTTAGGATATGTAGTCAAGGTGGTTTTTGCAATGTTACTAATATTGTATTAATTTTAAGATATGTTCTAGATGAATAAATATATACTGCCTAAGGTTTTAGCTACTATTCGTTTTTGGCTTAGAGTATCTAGAAAAAGTATTTAGGAAAGACTTGTATGTTTACTAGCACACTTATCCTAGACACAAAATTTCTTTAAAATGTAATCTTATAGGATTTCCATTCCTATGCTAGTTACAATAAAACATATTTTGCCTTGTTTCCGTGGGTTCATATTAAAAAAAATGCATTGTCATCATTTCAGTTTCAACTACTATTTTCAAACCGCCGTAAGCATGGCTCTCCTTAGATTTGCGGGACGCAGGGCGGGTGATGCTCTCGGCTATACACGACACGATGTACTAACTCGATATCTTCAGATTTATTTGTTTGAGACTTAATCAACATTGAATAAATTTCCATATATTATAATTTCAGTAAAATGTAAGTTTTTATTATTAATTGTAAAATTTTAATACTTGTTATTTTTCTTTTTTAAATCACCTTATCTTTATCTTGTAAATTATTTTCAGATAATGAATTTAATTTAATCAATTTATTAATGAAGTAAAATAATAATTATTCTTTACTAGTACTTTAAACAGTAGAACTTATGTAAGCCGAACTTCAAAGGAGACGCCAAATAATTCGAGTCATAGAGTTTTAGTCTTACGGAGTATTCGACTTAGGCAGATTTTGTAAGGAAATATACGGCTTGTAATGTAATGTTGTAATGTTGACTTGTTGAGCGTCCCCCCGCCCCGCGTCCCGCTAACTATCGCAAGGGCCAATCTTACGGCGGCTTGACCATAACGTACTTATTTGATTTTATCCTTGAAATTATTTTACTATTTTTGAAATCATTATTGAATACTGTTTGAAATGTTTATTTGCCTCAATTGTTTATTACTTACCATGAAGAAACGTATGATATATATGATATACTATATGTAATTTAAACGGGACCATTTCGGAATAAACCCCCTTTCGAACAAAAAAGGAATTTTTAAATCCGTCTATGTATGCCCGAACAAACATCAAAAAAATATAAACATCCGATGATCCAAAATATATACGTATGAAAAGTGTTAAGGAGACTTCCACTTATTTCTTGCACCTACCCTTAATTATGTAACTTCAGAGTCAATAAGAATGTATGAAATAAACTAGGGGCTTATGTTTAAAGTAGGTAATATTTTTACTGATTATTGTTTTATTATGCTTTATTATTTCACGTAGTCTCCGAAAATATTAATACTCATTGAAAACCATTGAAGACTACGGTGTCTTGATGTCGTGTACTTTAAAAAGCTATGCTTTTTATGTGAAGCTTTAAACATAGTTAACTATATATTAGATAAAATAGATATATTTTTACATACAAATACACATAAATTTTTATGTTTGTCACAACAAGCTTTGTAGCTTGGCGATGAACTTATGAATGTAAACTTGTAAAAGTAACATTTAATTTTTTTTATGAATAAACGACTTAAAAAAATATGTCTAAAAGTCTATCGATGTTTTCATTGAGTATTGAGTCTTTTATTATTCTTATTACTATGAAGTGAATTTTGAATTAGATTAATTAATTTTTGCTTCTGTCGTTGTCGTAACGAAGGTATTTTTACTATTATAATTGTGGCGCGAAATAATCGACTTTTAAGTTCTGTGGATGATTTTTAGGCCCAATAAAAATTATGATGGTTTTTAAATTGTTGTTTTTTTAATATGTGTAATTTGTATTTATTTTTTTAAGTGGCGCCGCTTAGTGGTCGCGTATGCGTATGCTGTGTTTAGGGCTCGGTTTCGATTCCCGAGTCGGACCAAATGTTTGTATGATCTGCAAATATTTGTTCCGGAGTTTGGGTGTTTCTATGTTTAATACGTATGTATGCTATCAGACAATCTAGCTTTCGTAGTACAAGCTCTGCTTAGTTTGAAAATAGATGGCGTGTGTTAGATGTCCGAAATAATATATTTTGTCCGAAAATATAACATTCGTAATGAAGTAGTTACATGATACTTAAAAAAGAGTGGGTACGAGAAATTTAAAAAACTTAGAAAACGAGTGTACTTTGCTGTTGTATACGAAAAAGATGGAAATGCTTTGAAAACATATCATGAAAGAATTGAAAATTGCCTGAAAGATAACACAAAACTGTTTGGACAACAGCATGAAATTAGTTATTTTTATAAAACT